ATCCATCCATCCATCCATCCATCCATCCATCCATCCATCCATCCATCCATCCATCCATCCATCCATCCATCCATCCATCCATCCATCCATCCATCCATCCATCCATCCATCCATCCATCCATCAGTTATTTCTTTCATCTCTTACGTATCTAACTAAGTTTGACAAAGCAAAGAGCGCTTACTTGCGCTTATCAAACTATGAAAACAATCCAAAAACCCCACCATCATCATCATCAACAAGAACAACAACACCATTACCATCATCGTCGTCATTATCATCATCATCATCATCATTATCATCATCATCATTATCATTACCAACACCAACAACATCAGCATCATCGTCACCATCGTTTCAAACGTGATGCTAACAAGTAGCATTAGTAGCATTAATGTATTTAAAATTGGTGTAAAAGTGATTTCAGTTAATCCGACTGCAACAACATTTGTATCAATAAAGTTTTGAGAGTATTAGAATTACAATTAAAGAACGTCTTACAGGTATTAAAACTATTGAACTAAAAGTACTGAAGTTATTGCGGTGAAAAGAATTGAGAGTTACAGTATTGGTATTGTTTGTCTGGAGAAATAGCAGGGAGTGATATATTTATCAAGTTTCAGATTTTGTTTCGCCGCTGTTTCAATTTTTTTTTTCTTTTATTTCTGCCGGTTCTGTCGTTCGTATGTTCGTTTGGTAGGTTGTTTGTGTGTGTTTGTGTTTGTTTGTGTTTGTTTGTCTGTTTGTGCGTGTGTTTGTTTGTTTGTTTGTTTGCTGGTGCGGTTTGTCATTTGTTGGTGTCGTTAGTTGGTTGTGTGATTTCCAGAATTAAAATTGGAGATTGATTCTTTTACTTCATTCATTAACTGAATGCTTGCAATAATAAGCTTAATTAAATTAATTAATTAATTAGCCAACTAATTTAATAATTCATTTTAGTTGAAATATTTTAATTTACTTATTCCTCTGCCAACATTACAAACAGTTGGCTTCCCGTCAAGAGCATCCGGCTTTCCAGACGGTCCAACCTACCAATCCTACCACACTCAACATCCATCATCACTTTTCCACCATTCGTCATCCTTTTCTACCAGCAACAACAACATCATCAACAACAACAACAAAAACAATCATTGCAACAGCAACAGTGGTAGCAGCAGCCACTGCAACAGCGATTTAGCCGCCGGTAGTAGATTTTACGACGATCCCTATAGCAGCTACAACAACGTTCATTTAAGCAGTATTTTTCAACACTACGCCAGCCCTAACGACGATAACAAATGCTTTTTGAGATCCATCGATCTTGCCGCGACTACACCGGCTTCAATCTTTACGTCGACGTTGTCGTCGCCATCGTCGTCGTCGCTGGCCGCCACGATTACGACGACCTCGACTGCTAATGATAGTTTGCAGACGTTTGGTTTCACGCAAGAGCAAGTGGCGTGTGTGTGTGAGGTGTTGCAGAGTGGGGGAAATGTTGATAGGCTGGCCAGGTTGGTAGATGCTGATTAGTAGCAGCTTGAGTTGCGTTAATAACTTGATTTAATAAAAATTATATTCAAAACTGTTGATAAGTTCTTGTTATTTAATTAAATTTCACTCAAAACGCACACCAAAATCAGATTTTTGTGGTCGTTGCCGGCATGTGATCGACTTCAGAAATGCGAGAGCGTCCTGAAGGCCAAAGCTGTCGTCTGCTACCACCGCGGCCACTTCAAGGAATTGTACAGAATCCTGGAGAGTCATCAATTCTCACCTCACTCTCATCCGAAAATGCAGATGCTGTGGCTTAAAGGGCATTACGCCGAAGCTGAAAAAGTAAAGACGAACACCCACAAACAGACACACACACGTACACACGTACACACACACACATAATTGATGTTGATGTGAACTTTGTTGAAAAAGACAGACATTAGTTTTTCGCCTTCATTGCCATCTTCCTTATCATAATATATTTAATCGCAATACAAAGTTATAACTTTAACTAACGCCACAGAATTTGGCTACGCCATGTACTGTGATTCAGAATTTTTGTTTAAAATTATTTTCTTCTCGATTTTTTTTTCACACAAATTTTAAAATATAAAAATTAAAGCTACGTGGCAGACCACTCGGGGCAGTTGGCAAGTACCGGATTCGTCGGAAATTCCCACTACCGCGGACAATTTGGGACGGCGAAGAGACTAGTTACTGTTTCAAGGAGAAATCCAGGAATTTATTGAGAGACTGGTACGCCCACAACCCCTATCCGTCACCCAGGGAGAAGAGGGAGTTGGCGGAATCTACCGGACTGACGACGACGCAAGTTGGTCGTGGGATAATACATACACACATACAAACAACACACAAACATACACAAACACACACACACATACACACACACACATATACACACACACACACATATACACACACGCACACGCACGCACATAGGTGAGTAATTGGTTCAAGAATAGACGACAGCGTGATAGAGCCGCCGAAACCAAAGACACTTCATCTGGGTCTGTTGAAGTTGATGATGATGATGAGGATGTTGATGTTGATGATGATGATGATGATGTTGATGATGATGATGATGATGTTGATGATGATGATGATGATGATGATGTTGATGATGATGTTAATGATAGTTGTGTCATCAGTAAAAATAGTGTTGATGACACTGAATGCCGATAGAGAAAAGTATACCATACACTGGATGACATCAATAACATTAATTTATAACATTTCAAAACAAAACAATGACATCAATGACATCACAGACCATGTGACTTTAACGATGATGTAACTACGGAACCCAAACTCGAGCCTGATTCGCCAACCTCCTCCTCCAACAACAACAACAGCAACAACAACAACAATAATAATAATCTTAACAATAACAACAACAACGGATATTGCAGTAGCACTAATAATAACAACAACAACAACATTGATAATGATGATGACGTTGAGAGCGGAAGTGAAAACTATGACGTCACAAACGATGACGATAGCAAAAATATCTACAAAAACAAATCGAAAAAGCATGACTTAAAAACAGACATCAACAACAACATAATCAACAACAACAACAACAACATTGCCAACAACGAAACAAAACATAAAAACCACAACAACTACATCTCAACCTACCAACACAACAACAGCAACAACAACAATTACAACAAATATCAACAACAACAGCCAGTCTTGCCATACTTCGATTACAACAAATTTTCAAAGTTTTGGAGGACTCCAGGATTTCCCGCCCAAAATTCCCACTTTGGTCATGGTGATGATTTCTATTCTCGTTTCACTCATTCATCCATTTCTTCCTCTTCCTTCTATCCTTCGCCCGAGAGTTACAATCAAGTTTTCAAAGCCTTTGAATCAGATAAAGTTAATAGACCGTAAGCCGTTGTTTGACCTCACTGAAATGATGGTGATGACAACGACGACGATGATGATGACGATGATGATGAGGGTGTTGGTGAAGATGATGATGATGGTGGTGATAATGATGATTTAATTAGCATCATTATCATCATTATCGACAAATATGTTGTCAGTAAATTCATCAAAGTCGTCGTCGATGTTCAATAATGAAAATATCATCATCGTCGTCATCATCATCTTCATTAATGCTATTATCACATAATTAAACACACACACACAACACACAGACGCACACACGCACACACACACACACAGACAGACAGACATACACAGACAAATTTATTAACACTAATTGTGATAGCAATATTATTATTACGCATCTTGGTTGGATGATAATTATCATAACATGCCTTGAGAAAAAAATTCACACATACACACAAATACACACACACACACATATATATATATATAATATATATATATATATATATATATATATATATATATATATATATATATATATATATAATATCTAT